GATGAAGTGCTTTATTTCCATGAGTCAACTTTAAAGATGTGCATTGACACTTGTAAGGGTTTGCACTAAGTGTCAGTATAGTCACATTTTTATCTTTATTCACAGGTACAGCCTTCCACGCATGATGCTGGTGAGAAATACAGTATATTATTTCTGTATCTTTATTAAAACAACTCTTGGAGGGAACTATTTGACATGCTTTTCATTGCATTAAAACTGTAACCAGGAAAGAGAAAGCTGCCTCTTCAGGGTGAGTCCAGCACGCAGCCAACACCAACTAAACGACACCGCTGGGCTGAATCTAAAGGTAAATTTATTTTGAATTTCTAACACCAGTGGCAACATACACTAATATTACTATAATTTTAGAAATCCATATATTAAATTATTGGTGACAACTTTTTTTTGTATATAGCTTGACGTTGTCATTACTAAAAGTTTGCATATTGCTTTTGCCATAAATACAAATTTATTTTGTGAAAGACCACAACAAAAAGCTGATACACCAAATTCCTATAACGTCTCTTGTTAAATTGCTTTCAATTATTTTCTCACTGACAGATACGAAAATTCAGTGTGAAGTAAAACAGATAATGAGCGGTGTCAGCGCCCAACTGGTCAGACAGAACAGCACGGAACTCAATCAGTTCCTGAAGTAAGTGGTCTTTGAATACCTTAATCAAAATGTTGAAAAACTTTACATTTCTGAATGAATTTAGTCTAAATATCTGTTATGAACAGCAGTGAGTGATTTTTATATTTTTAAAGGAATGCTGTTTTTTTTCTTATATTTATATTTTTATAAGAAGCCCAACAACCTTTGATCACTATCATTCAAAACTCAACTTTTCTCCTGCTGTTGGTCCAACCAAATCCAGGAGGCCAGAGGACCACTTCTACGTATTTGATCTGGCTAAGAGTCAGTTTGTGACTCTGTGACCCACTGGACAAATACCATTTTGACTTATGAATTGTTTAAATGACAAGAGTGCAGGGAGTTTCCTTTCACCTGTACATTAGCCAAGAAACCCCCAGATGGCCATTTTGATGCCACAGAACTCTTTTCTTAACAGACACCTCATGGGAGGTCTATACAGTAAACCTAAAGTGGGGGTTGGGAGGACAGAACCCTAGATCTAGGG